CACCTAAATAAGGAATCCTACAGCTATAATGATTCCTTATTTAATGCATTGTATATATTATGTTGAAATACTATTATCATGAAGGGTAATATGCAAACTATTAACATATTTGTTAATATAGTTTTCTATATGGTATAGGAACTAAAACTTCCCTTTATTAAAATCAGTTTAGGCGTGCCATATCAAGCAAACCCTATAATTCATAGACCTCATAAAAATAGACCAAGAGCTAACGGTTATAGAAAAAGGTTTTTAGTGTGCCATAAATAAATTAAATCATCCATGGCCCTCACAAATATTGCTATTAAAAACGAATCTTCGTAGCTTTCTTTAGGCGCGTTATAATAAAATCATCATAGCTACGGGTACGGTTCCCGTGACGTAGCTACGGTACCTAATTTCCAAATCTGGGGGTACATTTATGTGACCCAGCTATAACTTCTAATAATTTTTAATAATTTAAATATGTTATACATCGTGGGTACGGTTCTCGTAACACGATTCACAATGTGTATCAAACAAACAAGTGTACGACAATCGTAACTTGTACCATATTAATTTCATAAAATAATTAAAAGCGGTTATAAAGTTAAAAATGCACAATAGGTTTAAAATATGTAGTAAATTAGATAATAGGCCAATTATTAATAGTTTAAGCAACCGTTCTAGAACCCAGAAACCCGGGAATGCCTAACACCTTCTCCCGGGTTAACAGAATTTCTTACTTAGAATTTCTTGTTCGCAGACTTTTAAATAATGTCAAAAACTTCCTCGATTTAGGATTTAAAATAAACTAGTGACTTGGGAAACCAAATAATTTATTCCAATTGGTGACTATGATAAATTAAATAATTCCATTTCGAATAATGTCGCTTAAATTGGAAAAACTCTCTTATGCCCCCTTCGGGTGGTAAAAAGGAGTTGTGACAACTCTAGCGACTCTGCTGGGGATATGAACCTAGAATCTCTAGTTTAGGGTTCAAGAATTTAAGCTTAGAATAGCTGTTGCACTTGGCTTTATTTGTTATCTGATTTTTACATGTTTGAGACTAATGTGCTAAATGTCGCTTTTTACCGCTTTGATATTATTTGAACTGTATATAAACGGTTACGAAACCCTTCTCTTCTCATCTTCGGGGATGTTTACACTAGCGTGACTCCGCTTCTGTTAGTGTCATACCTTAAATAAGAAAGAGGCTCGGACAAGTTACAAAGCCGGATGGCCTTTTGGTTCCCGGTACGTAGCCCCCTCCTCTACTCGAGTTGTCCGCTTGGGTACACCAAGTCTAGAACAATATACCCAGGTTTTAAAACATAGGATAACTCATCCTCATGTCGGATCCATAGTAGGAACGTTTGTTTGCATCATATGCATTTTTGACTTTGGAGACTCAACACAAGGGTTGGGTCTGTCTAGGACAAGTGGACCCCGGAATCAAAAGATCATCCTGGTGAATTTTTACGTGCTACTTGTACAATTATTTGCTTCGGTTTGCACGTTGACTGGTTGCTAGAATAGGGAAAAAATAAAATTGAGGTAGGAGAGAGATAATTACCCGCCTTTGAAAACCTGGTGCCCAAAATATGCCACAATTCTGCCGAAATTTTTAAAAAAAGGAAAAAAAAAAGGGAAAGGAAAATGGTTTCAAAGGTTTCATGTCTTTTTATTTTTATTATGTCAAAACTGGCCGAACTATGCGGGTTTGATTCTTACCGGATGTGGAATACATAGGCAACCCTCATCAGGTGCAGCCCCGCTTTTGTAAAATAACCAGAAAATTGAAAAAAATGTTATCATTTGTTGCCAAAAATAAAATGGTAAATGACATTTTTGTCTAAATAAGCGTTCGACGGGGCACCGGAAGGCTGTTTTTGAAAGAATAGCCACCGAAGGTTTCTTTGTGAATTTTTTGCTACCTAGCAAGCACAACCCTAAAACCATCCTTAGCGAAGTGCTGAAGGCCCGTATTTGCAAAACTAGTCGTGTTATCTAAATTTTTGCAAAATTTTGTAAAATTCTCTTTGTTTCGAACCAACCACCTTAATTTAAATGTGTAGAATGAGCACAAATCAAATTTACCAATGAAGGTCATGACCAAGATTCCTTTGGAACTGTATATGTGGTGGGAAGATCTGGGTAAATCAGGACGAGATGTGGTCAATAATCACTTAGGGGGTCTCACCAGTTTATTGAAGATCAATCCTAGAGGAGACATACTAAAAGCCTTGGTTACATTTAAGGATCCAGCTCACAACGTATTTCATTTCTTGGACTTTGAACTCACACCCACTTTAGAAGAGATGGCCGGGTATATTGGGAGTACTGAAGCTCTAAGACATAAATACTTGGTCGCTCCAAAACCCGTCACCCCTCACAAGTTTCTGGATTTGCTAAAGATAAGCAGGGGGGTCAAATACGCAGATTTGGTAGCTGGGTTTTCCACTCCACAATTTATATACTAGCGATACAGACACATAGGGGGTTTAAAAATCCTGAAAGCAAAATTTGCAGTTTGGGGAATCGACTAAAATGGGAAAAGCATAGATGTGTCGCTTTCATAGTGGTATTTTCGGATCTTCTAGTATTTCCCAAAAAGGACGGGAATATTGATATACGGATAGCCGGTGTCGTCAAGACCTTGCTTACCAATTGCAAAATCACCCTCGCACCTATGATAGTGTCTGAAATATTTCGAGCTCTCACTGCCTGCAAAGCCAGAGTTGACTTTTTCAAAGGGTGCAACTTGTTGTTACAAATGTGGATGATCAAGCATCTATGTCATCATCCTCTGTACATGAATTATGGGTCGACAAAAAAATCTGCATAGAAGAATTCTATACAAGGGTCGACGGTTTCAAAATGCCAGAAGGGGTCGCAGAATGGATAGCTTGTCTCCGCTCCGTCATTGCAAATCAGATAGAATGGACGTTGGGATGACTTCCTGTTGATGATATACATGTTGTCGCGCCCCCTTTTTCTAGCAAAATTAGGTTTATGACATTTGGGAGACAACTCGTTCCCTTTCACTAATCGGGTTTTGAATTGAAGAATCGCCACCTAATGATTTAAGTGCATCAGGACACTAAAAAAGGTTTGATTTGAGTAATTAGAGATTTGGTAAGGGCTTGAAATTATCCCAAGGGAAAGGTGTTAGGAACCTCTCAGGATCCACTAGTGTGGTTCCCGGCCAAACTATTATTGTGACTTAAGTGCAAATAACACATGGGCAAATAAAGGCTTCAAATAAGAGGGGATTTTCACGTAATGGTTACAAATAAACAAAAGTAAGAAGAAGGAACTAAAAAGAGTTGATTTCCTTAAAAGAAATGGTTTAAAAAGATTTAAAAGAAACAAAGAAAACAAAGGGAAGAGGGGGGGAGGGGTCCTAGGTTTATTAATAATATGGATCACCTCACACAACATCCGGTAATCACTCCTCAGTGAGGGGCTACACGTGATGTTATCGTATGGTCATCATATCCATATCTACCCTTTCCCACCCCGTTAAGGTATTAAAGCGCAGAATGGTCTCGTTTACTCATTACATGTTATTATCCACCCCAATCCTATCAGCCTCGGAGGCACTTTGGGACTACTAATCCTAAAGGAAGGAGGTATTGGGCTTATTTGTAGTTTTAAAAGGTAAAATACTAAGGCGACAATCAAAACACATATAGCAAGTTTGGGGAAGCATATAAACAAATAAAATGGCTCGAACAGACCTCCTTTAAACCAAAGAAAGAACATAATGTAGCATGACTTGCATGTACTGTTTTGGGTCTGATTAAAACCTAAAGGTTGAGGCAGACTAATTTATCACATAATTCAGATAAGAAACCCGAATCAGGCCTGCCTGCTAGTTGTAGTTAATAACAACATATTCAATTTATAAGTTTACCATATGACTTGCCTATGTGTTAGACGAAAACCCTATAGGCATGATATCTACAGACTTCAGAAACAAGGACATGAGCTGATTACATACTGATTTAAGAAAAGTTGTCAACTATTAAAGGAGGGCGAGTTTTAGCAAAAGATTATAAGTTCTGCAACTGATAATGCATTATTATTACTGGTTTTAGACTCATAAGCGAGTGAGGCAATTCAGATTTGATTAAAGCTCATATAGGCATGCTTTCTATGTGTTTGTCAACTTTAGAACACTTTTATAGACATATAGAAATGCAGAAATCCTACAAACATGATATCTAGGTGTTGTATTTTATATGAACATGATATCTATATGAGAGGATGCATGATTCCTATAGACATGGTATCTATATGAGTGTGCAAAAATTCAGAAAACCCCTATGGACAGGATATCTATATATGAGAATGCAGGATTCCTATCGCTACAATATTTTAGGCCTTTAACCACACCCAAGAAGTGTGGCCTAAACTATTAGAAAGTGTGGCCCTTGATCACCGACCACACTTTTTGACCTAGGGCAACACCTTTTAGGGGGTAGCCTAAGTAAGCGTAACCTTTGTCCTAAGACAACACTTTTCATGAGGCTAAGGCCACGGTTTACAATGGCCACCCTTTTCTTGTCTGATAGCTACACTTTTTAAGCGTGTCTTTTGTTACCTTATAGGCCACCCTTTTCAAATGTTGCTCCTATAGCAACACTTATAATGTGTGGCCTTTATTACTATACACGCCACATTTTTGTCATACTCATAAGGCCACACTTTGAAGCGTGACAATTGTCATATTTTTACTAATATCCAAGCTACAATTTCGTGTTTAAAAAATTACATTTTTATGTATATTCGATAATCACATTTATTTCAAAAAATAAACTTTAGTATGGAGATCTCAAGAAATAAATTAATTAATTTAATTAACTAAGAAGTAACAAAAAATAATTCAAATGCATATACTTGTAATAACTTCAAAAAAAGAAATATGTCATATACTACATCAAATAATAAAATCAATTACTTTAAGGCACATGTTGGCCATTAACTTTACAAAATTATATATATTCATAGTGTATCACAAATATCATAATTGTACAAAACTCTTCATCATTTTCTTCCAATACATCAATTTGACTTTAGGCCATCAATCCCCAGATTTATTCTATACATATAAAATGGAATAAAAGTTAGATAAAAATCAATAGTATGCAAGTGAAAAGTCAAATTAAAAAATTTCACTTATACTTTCAACAATCAAAAGCACAACATTTAACAGAGTAAAGGTAACACTATCAAAGCAGGAGACAATGGATGAGAGAACAAATAGAAACACCTATACAACATATTTATTCATGCTATGTCAGAATAATTTCTTATAAGTTTCAGTGAGTAGTAGACAAAAAGTACGTTATACTACCCCGAGCGAGTAACTTTATACATTCCTGTTTAAGTTGGCCTCGTCATTTAGGAGTAAAAACTTAATAGTGAGCTTTTGATAGAATATGTAATAGCAAACTATCCGACTTAGCACACTTCTCACTAGGGAATCCCAAGTTCAACACAATCATGTCACAGATGCACAACCATTATCAACATAGAAGATGACATTTCGAAGGTATACGTACCCCCTATTTTTGTTAGAAAAAAGTAATTTTTGAATGCATTTGTGGCCTCTCTTGCATGATACTTGAAAATTGTATGTTCTATGTACATGAAAATAATTCATTTGGTTTAACAGATATCTAGGTAAGATGCTTTACACTTTGCCCTATGAATGTCTTCGGAGATGAGCTAAGGAATGAGATTAAATGACTATAGTAATCTTAAAAAATTTGAAAATCTTTTAAATAAAAATAATACAGAAACACTGTGAAAAAATGGAAAAAACGTAAAAATGCTATACATAAATGCATAAACTTACAAGTGGTATGAAACATACATTAATTTCTAATTTTTAAGTGGTATGAAAACATAAAACATGCTAATGAAGTTGAACTGGTGTTATGATGGAGCATTGATTTTAGAGAAAAGAACTTGTGAGTAAAATCTCAGTTTCAGGTCAACAATAACATATATTTTACAATTCTACTGGCAAGAAGCTTAAAAGATAAAATAAGTATATGGTTGAATAGAAGAATACCAGCTATTGCTAAGTAACCTTGTCGAGTGCATTTCTCTGATTTTGCGCATATTTTGCCAATGTACGCCTCTTCTTCATGTGATTATAGAACCAACAACCTAAATATCAAGGGAAAGTCCAATTCACACTAAAACTCATCAGGTAAGCTTTCTGAATATGTTAATGAATAACTACAACTCAGTACTACAAAATATACTAGTCTTACACAGACAAGTACCTTCATTCACTCATAATCCTAAGACACACTTATTCTTGGAACACTTAAAAAGATACTAATTCTTTTGAACATAAGAAGAAAAAAAAGAATATCAGAGCTAGTTTCATGTATTTAAAATCACAAAATCACTGAAACATGTAACAATTTGGTAATTCCTCTAGCTAAGATACGTTTTCATGCATGGATAAATAAAGGAACCTAATAATATAAATTAGATTACTAATGTAGATTATTCCTCATATCAAAAAACTTGAGTGTTGCACTGTAAAAATATCAGTTACTTGATTCACAAAGTCTGATATTAGCATCGCTCTTGATAATAATGGAGGATAATTCACTGTTTGAATAGAAATAGTGTGAAGATCATGGAGGCAGCTCAGTATAAAAAGAAATGTAGATGCTAGCAGCTAAAAGGTAATATCATAATACCACAAGAACAATCTCTATCAGACTGTCACCATAACAAAACAAACAATGACTGAAAAATCAAAGCATACCTGAGTTTTCCCAAAATTATAACATTTTCATACCTATAAAAAAACAATATCATATTCATATCTATCCAGTATAAAATCTTTTAATAGTGAGCAAGCATATGTCCAAAGGAAAAAAAAAGGATAAAAAAACAAACACAAGCTGATCAGGAAAGGTACTTTTTTTTTTCTAGAAAGAAGCTTTGGGCTGAAAACCAAAAAAAAAAGATATATAATTATATAATTCTTATTAATGATATTGACCAAAGAGGAAAATCCCAGGAGCATCGACTTCATCAAGAGGAAATCAATCCAGATTTAATTTCTTGCATATTTCATGTAGCTTTTAGTCATAGATATGACATTTATTTAAGTTAAAGAATCCTCATGAGGTTGTGCAAAAAGAATATTATTGATACTCATTTTTTGGTTATAGTGGAAGCCACAAATTCACATCCTAATTTGGATTACTTTAAATTTTTTCGTTCTTACAACCCATCCCCTTAAATCTACGAACATCAAATAATGCACACAAGAGACTTAAAATTTCTTTTATAAAAAATCAAACCCTCACCTATCTCCATTCTCCTCTAAGAAGCATTTCCAACTCTTCCGCCGGTGTCGTTGATGGTCATGTCTACTAGTCTCACTCCTACGTAAACTCCCAAAATTTGAACACACTTCAATATTACATCTTGAGTTGGTTTCTATAACCATTAAGCACAAAAAAGAAGTGGGTTTGACAAGATAAACACATAAAAGTGATGGAAGCGGAGTGAACCATTTCAATAAAGGAACAAAAGGGGCAGAAAGTCGATTGCGGCAACTTGAGTGGGTGTTGCAGTCGACTGAGTACAAGACCATCCCAGTTTCTTTTAATGCCTTAACTCAGTTTTTTGAAGTGAATGATGGACTTAGTCGTTGCTAGCCGAACGAGGAGTTCGATAGTGAAATAGGGTAACAACACAGGTGGCCTTAAAGCAACATACATGGTGGTGCTATGATGCAGGNGGAATTTTTAGTAGGAGAAGTAATGGGGGGAAATTTTCAGTAGGTGAAATAATGGAGGGAAAATTTTGGGAGAAAATTTTTAAAATTTTTTACAGTACGCTTATAAATAGTGTCTTTTAGGATGAATAAAGAGCACTATTCAAAAGTGTTATAATATATGGAATAAGTGTTTCCAAATATTTTTACATTTGGCAAACACTTAAAAAGTGTAGCCTTTATATTTAAAAAGAACGTTTTACAAGCATTGCTTAAAATTCGTGGCCTAAACCCCTCAGCAAAGGCTACACCTTAGAAAGCTTGCCCGTAAATATATTTGGCAATACTTACCAAGTGTTTCCTAAACTTAGTGTGGCATTAAGCCAAATTTGTTGTAGTGTATAGACATAATATCTATGTGAAAGTGCAGAAATTCAGAAAATTCTATATATGAGAATGTTGGATTCCTCTAGGCAGGATATCTACCCCTTTCGCATACATGGTTACCCCTCCCCTTTCACTATCTATCCCCAAGAGTTTTATTACAGAGTTATTACAACCCATTAAAAGTAAAGGAAACGAAAATACATCAGAAATTAAAAAGTACAACCAAGGAGAGCCTGTCAGACTTCCTATCTGAAGTATTAAGTAAACCAACTCCAAGAGATCATATTTCAAAGCCTTTCTCCCATTTGAGGCGTGTTAGAGTTCCCTAAGAGTCTCATATGAACTCCGGGCAGTGCTTGTCACACTTCCTTTTTACTACACCCCGTAAAGAGTATAAATATAAGGGAGTTTTTCCAATTAAAGGACAATCGAAACGGGATTATATTAAGAAATTTAGAGTCGCCACTTGGGAGATTTATGGTGTCACAAGTCACCGGTTGAATCCCGAATCGAGGAAAATATTTACTCTGTTTAACTATCCGCGAACCAAAAATCCAGGTAAGGAATTCTGTTAACCCGGGAGAAGGTGTTAGGCACTCCCGAGTTCCGTGGTTCTAGCACGGTCGCTTAGCAATTTATACTTGGCTTAAATTGTTTAAATATTCAGTTTTAGGACCTATGTGCATTTATCTATTAACTGCTTTTAAATCACTTGATTATTCATAATTAAAGAATTGAGTTACGCGTGCGTATACTCTTTTCCTTTGGCGCGTCAAAAATCATGTCACGCGAACGTGTCCACGATTAATGACACTTTGTTAATTATTAGGAGAATTTGGCCGAAGTTGCCCGAACGCATACCTCGAGTTACTTTTAGAATTAAATTCGCAACTATGTTATGAGGACTTATACACAGTCACAATAGTAGTCTAAGTTAAGCCTAAAGCAAACTACGAGTGTTTAAGGTTATTTTAATATTAATGCGAGGGCCATAGGTTATTCGCTAAATGGCACGCCTCGAATTCCAAGGCTCAGAATACTAGTTAAGCGAGGGTCATGCATTTTGAGATTTCATTTGGCATGGCACGCCTCGAATTATTCTAAAAGGTTTTACTCAACTAAAACAAACCACGGATATTCATGAATTATTTTTCTAATATTAGTTTGAAACTATTATGAGGCTATAAATTATTAACCTCGTATTGTTCAGTTGCAGAACTATCAACAAAACACCATAAAACTATATCTATGTATCCCTAAAGCAATATTTATTTACTAACAATGACAATCAGAAGAGTTATGGCAAGAATTAACTTCTTATTACATTTTTAAAAAGTATCCACTAGAAGAAAAAGGAAAATTATAGACTAAAGTTCAAATACGATAATAACACTGCGATTAATCAATAAACAAATAGAAGGGAGAAATCAGATTAACTACAGACAAAATATTTCACTGTTCCAAATCCACAAGATGCCAAACTGCCAAATTGAACCCCTCCATTAATACCTAGTTAGAGTTATATAACAGTTCCTTTAATATTACAAAACCAGATTTCATTAAGGACACAAAAAGAACGTAGCATTGAACAAAGCGTAAGCAGCAAAAGAGACGATTGAAACAACAGATGAAATAAAGGAACGGACCTTCAAAAGAAAGCTTTCTTCATTAAGAATGATCCTTCAGCTGACATTTGCAGCGTCAGTTATTTGACACGAACAAAGATCGAAATCGGTGCTGGAAACCTCAACAAACCTCGTCATCACCTCGACTTCAAACCGGAATCAACCTCGGCTCATCTCGTTGAACCTGGACTCGAACTCAGGTCATGAAAGAAGGCGAGCGTGAAGAAAATGCCAGGTGAAGAAGACTGTGATTTGGATTTTGAAATTTGAATGACTGTATTTTAGCGTTGAAAAGAAAGAGAGTTTTAGCTATTTTGGTGAAAGAGAGTGGTGTGAGGTTAGGTCGTTTGGCATCAAGCTTCGCCGAAAATGGCAGCTTCGCGATGAACGGAGGTCCAACAATGATGGTGAGCTAGGTGAGGTCGTTTGGTTCTGTTTGTCGCGTCTGGAATTCGTTAATCCGACGAGCTGGTGGAGCTCGTTTTTCCAGCGAGTTTCAGGCAGAGGCGGGGTCATTTGACGATTAACGTTCAGGGGTCGTTGGTGTTTTTTCCGGCGAGCTGGGTTGATGGGGGAATGCAGAGGGTCGTCGCCTGGGTGATCGGCGTGAGGTCAGGCACGAGGTGTGGTGATTTCCGGCGAAGGGTCACTGTTTTTGGGTTGTTCTGCTGCACAGCCTTTAGCTTTTTAGCCTTTTCGTTTCTTTCTTCGTTCATGCGCAACTTTTGTTCATATCCCCTTTCCTCCCCTGTTGTTTTTGTGTGTGTCTGTGTGTTCTAATGGTATAGCCAAGATGAAGTTCGGGGTGGTTGTTTGTGGACTGGTTTCCGGCGAGAGGTCGCAAGATGGAGAAGCAGCAGCAACTCCTTGTTATGGTGTTGCTGTTGACGAAAAGCAGTGGAGAGAGGGGTGTTTGGAGGAGACAGACGCGAGGGGGGTGGGGGTCANTGGGGGTCGTTCTCTGGTGTCGAGTTTCTAAAGAAGACGATGCGCAGCTTCTGCGTCTTTGTTGCCTTCAACCCTTTTTCGTTCTTATTCTTTTTATTTTTTGTGTTATCTCTTTCGTTTTTCAAATATCCAATAGAGAGGAGGGTCGTTTTTAGAGGTAGGGTCGTTTGGAGAAGATGACTCGCAGGGGGGTGGGGGTCGTGAAGAAGACGACGCAGGGAGGGTGGGGTTCGTTCCCTGAGCAGCTTCTGCGTATCTTCTCTTCAGCCTTCTTCGTTCTTCTTCTTTATATATAGTTTAGGTTAAGGGGTATGGGCCTAGGAATTGTGGGCTAGGTCCAAAATTAGACCTAAAAATAGATTGCTCGAGCCTAAGTTTTATTCTTCCCCTGCGAACGAGATTAAAAATACGATCTCATTTATTAATTAATCATACTATTAAAATAATTATTA